TAAGTAAATTACATAATGTGTTACTAGGTGATAAATGCTATTGGAAAAATAGAGCAGGACAAGGGGTTTCAGGAATTCTGAGGGGTTAGCAACTTTAAACAGGGGGTAGGGTGGAGAAAAATGCCAGGAGAAATGCCTGAAAAGGTGAGATGTGAGCAAAGACCTGTAGGAGGGACCTGTGGATATTTAAGGTAAGGGAGTTCCAGGCAGAGGGAAAAGCAAAAGCAGAGGTTCTGAGGCTGGAGTGTGCCTGGTGTGTCCAGAAACAGCCAAAAGGCCAGTGTAGAGGGAGCAGACTGAACTGAGGGAAGAGAGGGAGAAGATGAGAACAGGGAGGTGACTGGGCATATCATGTAGGACCACGTGGGCCTCTTGTTCAGAACTTTGACTTTTCCTCTGAGTGAGGTGAAAGCCATGGAGGGCTCTGAACAGAGAAGGGATATGATCTGACTTGGGTTCTAACAGGCTCCCACAGGCTCAGATGTTAATAGCATTTATTAAGCACTTACTCAGTGCCAGACGCTGTTCTACGAGAATTCAATAGTCTGATCTCGTATAATTCTCATATAGATCCTGTAAAGATTATCACTCCATTTCACAGAGGTGAAACTGAGGCTCAGAGAGTTTAAGTCACCGACCTATGGTCACACAGCAATAATCTGAAGCGCCTGGGTGTGAAGGCACAGTGAGCCAGTTTTCCCCTCCCCCAAGCTTTTAGACAGGGATCGCCGGCAGCAGAGCGCACTCATCATCGGGAGTTGCGTCTGTGTCCCTGTCTGTCTGTTTCTATTTCCACGCGTCCCTGTCTGTCTCCGCGCGCCTCTGCCTGCGCGTCCCCCATCTGTGCCCAAGCCGCTGTCTCGCTGCGCCCGGCCCCCGCACATCGGAGCTATTTCGGGTTTAGGCATAAAAGCCCAACAGCTCGGAGGAGACGCTTCCTCCGGCCCCCGACTCGGACCACGCGCCACACGTGGCCGGCTCTGGGAGCTCCCGGTCTTCTCTAAGGGATCCCCAGGCTGGGGAAGCCCCCGCGGGCGGAGAGGTGGGGGCTGGGGCGACCCGGGCCCGTGGCTCCCGGCCCCCAGTGGCCAATCCGCGCATTGACGCTGTCTAGAACCCAGCCGTGCGTCAGCCGTCGCTCTGGCAACTGGAGGGCGACGTCACCGACAGGCAGTTCGTCAGCCACCTGCTGACGTCACGCCCCGGGAGAGGCAATTGGCGAGGGGCGAGGGCGGATTCCATGCTCAGCCGGCAGGGGGAGCCCCAGAGCGCTAACAGCAGATGCCTTTGGCTTGGTCCTGCAGGAGGCGCTGGCCTGGCCGACATGGCACCTGAAGCCCTCAAGGCGCGCTAGTTGGTGGGATGAAGAGGAGTCACAGTGGCCAGGGCCGGGGAAGAGGTGAGAGGGGCGGGGCCTGGGCTGGGGGCAGGGCTTGGACTGCTGGGTAATCAGACGCCTAGTGGCCACAGCTGTTCACTAAGCCTGGCTTCACTTCCTCGTGACAGCAAGGAGTCTTGTCCCCTCGTGCCTCAGTTTACTCCCTTGACTTCATTATTCTCCTGCTGCCCAGATTGAGGCTCTCAGCCCAGGGGCAGAAGGCAGGGTCTTCCAAGGGGCTTTCCAAATAGGGAGAGGATTGTAGGGTGAAGGGGCACGTGCTGGGGGTGAGCTCTGGAGGGTCTCAGAAGTGAGGGATGGGAGGGGGACACAGACATTTAGGCCAAGAATGGGCCTTGTATATGTGGAGGGTGGTGATATGTTAGAAGGGTTTCACAGTGAGGGACAGTGTAAAGGCATGAAGGCCCAGAGCCCTAGGGCTGGGACATCAAAATGGAGCCCCACAAAATTATGGCTGAGAATGGGCACCCTTCAGATGTCAGAGCTGGGAAGGTACTCTCTGTGGGAGGGGTTTATTGAGTAGCTAAGACGTGAAGGGGACACAGAAGCCTATATCCCCATCAGCCACCCCCTCAGATGGCTAGGGAGGGACATTACTGCAGGGAGAGGCTCAGAGCTGCCTGACCAGGCTGCACACCTATCCCCTCCTTGTCCCACTTCAGAGGCCGTGAGAGACCCTTGAGCCTGGCCGCACCAACATGCTGGGGGCTGACCTCCGACGCCCTCGACGCCGCCTCTCCACGGGCCCAGGCCTGGGCTGGGCTGAACCTGAGCCCTTGGACCCTAGGGTCCCTCTGCCACCACGGCCCACCACGCTGCCACTGCTGATCCCTCCACGGATTTCCATCACCAAAGCTGACAGGTAGGCAGGGGGTGGATCAGGCTGGGAGGTGGGGTGGAGGAACAGGGCCAGCTTGGGCTAAGTCCAGCCACCAGCCCTATCCCATGCTCCAGGCTCCTGGCTTCCCTGCATTTTGCAAAACCAGCTGAAATTTCTCCGGGAGCCTGGCAGGTCAGGTTATGACATCCATCCCCCAAGAGGCCCCTCTTGCAGCCTCTAGGAACCCCTTCTTCCATTTTGGAGCTGGCTGAGTCAGCAAGGGGCAGGATTTCAGAAAGGGTTTCAACCCTCTAGCGCCCAACGATGCTCCCATAATCAGAGAACCAGGACAGGCTAGGGAGTGAGCCCCCCTAAGCAGGCCGCTGTGCACCTCTATTTCCCTTTTTGGGAAGATACAATTTCTTGTAGGCCTTAAAAGAGGATGGTGGGACCCTGGAGGAGGTCTGGACTGGCTTTTTCCTCCTGAGTCCAGCTTCACACTGAACTTCCTTGCCCTTTCTCATTTGGGGTCCTCAGAGGGCACTTCAACCCCCGCCTTGGCCCAAGGATGAATTTGAAGGCCGGACAGCTGAGCTGGTCCTGGCTGCTGGCGGGGCCCCTGACCTCACTGCCCTCCCTTCTAGGGCTACTGTTCTCTGCAGCTTCAGTCTCCCGATCCAGCCCTTTATATACCCAATTGGAGGACTTCCGAGTCTGCCTGGGTCATGGTACAATGGTTCATTTCCAGATGGGGGAGGAAGTGACTGTCATTCCCTTTCCAGGAATCTAATGTAACCCCACCACCACCAAAAAAGAAATTCCCCTATCTTCTGCCTGGTTCAGGCCACAGCTCCAGCTCTGGCCCACTGCCTTGAGCCTTCCTTTTTCTGCAAGCTCCGCTGTGACCTGACCCCCACCCCCAGCCCGCGCATCCAGTGTTACCCATGTCCATCCCCCAAGAATTTGGTCCAGCCCAAGACCCTCAAGTGATCTGGGGAGGACTTGCCAATCTCCTTAGTAGTCTTTTTGAGTGCACACTTGTGGGGAGGGTCCCTGAGAGAAGTGAGGAACACAGTTCTGGCCTCTGGGACATCCAGCGGCTGCCAATGGCAGGGCGGTTCTTTCTCCGCGTTCGCCCACGCAGGGAGCCCCCTCTGGCGGGGAGAAAAGCGGCTGAGGCGGTTGGAGACGGGCTTTTTTTTTTTTTTTTTTTAAATAAGAATAGTGCGGAGGGAGGGCGGTGGCAGACAGCACGACCTGCCCGCGGGAGTCCTTGAGGGGGGCGCACTGGGGCGGGGCCTAGTTCCGCCGACGCCGCCAACGCGCACGCGAGCTGATTAATCCCAGAGCTCATGGGACCCGGGCATGCGGCGCAGGGGTGCGTGCGCTCCCCCTGCCCGGCCGCCGCCGCCACCGCCACCGCCACCGCCACCAGGGCTCAGTCCGGGCCGGGGCGGGGAGAAAGGGGAGGCGCTCGGATCCCGCTAGCTCTCTGTTCGCTCGCTCGGCGCGGCGCTGGGGGAGGCGGGAGCGTGAGTCACGGCGACTCCCGATTTAGGTGCCGGAAGGGGGGCTTTGTCGGCGGGGGCAGCGGAGAGGAGGCGCGGCTGTTTACTCGCCTGAAAAGGGCATGGGTGCATCCCGCGGTTGCTCAGGACCTGCCTCAGTTTACTTCCTGCAGAAGCGCTTTCGAAGAGGCAGCGATACACAGAGCGGTGGGCGGGCAGTCGGGGTATCAGCCACCGGGTGTCCTCCTGGAGCCACACAGGAACCAAAGGGACACACCCCAGAAATACCCCAAACCGGCTCCAGGCCGACCCTCCCATACACACACATACACACACACACATTAACACATATTGATTTCTCTCAGCCACCACAGCACACAACAGCGGCTGAATCGAGTGCACAACTCCGCAAGCGCGGACAGACCACTGTACACACCCAATCGCGTGGGAACACATGCACAGCCCCCAGGCCACCAGGACAGACCCTGTAGAAGCGCACACCTTCCAAACAGACAGCACACGTGTATTCGTCACCCACAGATACACACACAGCGAAATCCAGAGAAACAGGCAGACCTCAGCAGCTAACCACGTGCGCACACACACTTCGAGCAGACACCGAAAACACAGACAGCCCTCGGAAGAGGCCACGTGCGCGCACATCCTGCCCTGGGCACACACCATCACCATCCTCCAACCCGCCAACAGGAGAGTCCCCGAACACCGTCGCTGCCCGCCGCAGCGGGTCCCGTGTCACCGAGACCACTTCCCACAAGCTCCCTCTGGCAGGGGTAGCAGCGAGGACAAGCCAGCACTGGGCTCCGCCCCCACCATGATGGACGGACTGACTGACACACCGGCAACCAGTCGGGTGTCTCCTTCACGATCGGATTAACCGTTTAACTCGTTTGTGCCCGTGCGCGCTGCGGCTAGGCAAGGCGCTCTGGAGAGAGCCGAGTTCCGGCGCCCCCTCCCCGCCGGGAGCGGTGCTCTGCGTGGGCGGGGAGGGCCCCCCTCCTTGGGTGGCTGCCCCCCACTGGCCGGGACCGAGGAGGAGGGGGGCGGCGCTGACAGCCGCGGCGGGCAGGGGGCGGGGAGAGGCGGGACGGGGCGGGGGAGCCGGGGCTGGCGCCGAGCGGGACGCCGAGTGCGGAGAGCGCTGCCGGGCACCAAGCGGAGCGCCAGGCGCCTGCAGGAGGCCTTCGCACCGGCCCGGGGGCGATCAGCCCGTAGCGCCCCCGGGTCTGTCCCCGGGGCGCCATGGCCCCACCGAGGCCAGGCGCACCCACGGGGCCCCGGGAGCGTATGCTCTCGCGCAGCTGAACCAGGTGCAGCTTGGAGAGGCCGGGGCCCCCTGGGGTGCAGGTGGGGGCCAGGGCCATGGAGCCCCAGGCCGCCCCCTCGGAGAGAAGCCTGTCTCTATCTTTGCCCGGGCCCCGGGATGGCCAGGCCACCCTGAAGCCGCCCCCCCAGCACCTGTGGCGGCAGCCGCGGACCCCGATCCGTATCCAGCAGCGCGGCTACTCGGACAGCGCGGAGCGCGCCGAGCCCGAGCGGTCGCCACACCGGCCCATAGAACGCGCCGACGCTGTGGACACCAGCGACCGGCCCGGCCTGCGCACGTCGCGCATGTCCTGGCCCTCGTCCTTTCACGGCACCGGCAGCGGCAGCGCGGGCGGAGGCAGCTGCAGGCGGTAAGACTCCGGGAGGCGGACGCGCGCGGAGAGGATAGGCGCGCAGAGAGGACGCAACTCGGCCCGCTGACCGCAGGGGGCGCTGTGATGCGGGTGGGGTTAGTGTGACTGACGGGGGGGAC